TAGAAAATTTTTATCATTTTACCGATCATTACTAAAAATGATCGACAGCCGGTGACTTTTGTCAGGGGAGTGTACGTCTAGTCGTAACGGTACCATAACCATTGTGACTACGAGCATTCTGATAGGTTATTAAGGTTGAAATATATAAATTGTCGGAGAATTTGATATATTTATATCTTACCAACTAGGGTAATCCACGGTATGGTTGGAGTAAAGAATTATCGATTTCAAACATAAAAAATTGCCGATATCGATATCGATACATCATTGAAAACTCTCCCCAAGTGCAAACTCCTTAACGTTAATGCATATTTCTCAGTGAAATATTTCTATATTAAGTTGCATTATCGGAGTATCGGTTTAGTAAATTTTTATCCCTGGCTTAGAAAGTGTTTTATTGTACAAATATGACTAGCTTACATTATTGATAAACCTTACATGATGTTTATATATCGTCATAAAAATTATATTTAAATTTGTACCGTTACAAGATACGTATAAGATATATACTGTAAAAAGAAATTACGTAATAATTAATCTAATTATGAGATCGTTAATATCATTATCGTTATTCGAATTATGAAGTGACTATGCGATATGAACGAATTTAGGTGAGTTTTATGTAACTGGTAATGTTCGGAAATATAAATCAAATAATAACGATAATTATGAATTATCAAGATATTTGTCACACTATAAGAGTTATGGTTATTTATTTTATTATTATTTTTTTTTGTGCCCAGAAGGCAGCAAAATTAACGTTCGTTAGTCCTATCATATATACACGAATAAAAGAACAGATAATAAAATGTTGCCGCAATGTAAACAAAAGGCAATCTGCGTAATAATAATGAACAAAGGAACCCCTCATAAATTTAAGGAAAGGAATAAGGGAAGTGCCATTTATTACACGATTCTTTGATAAATACATGAGTTATTAGGTCTTAAACAATCTCTATAATAAAATATCATGTGATAAATGGCACTCTCCCTCCAAAAAAAAAAAAGGGCGTGACAAAAAAAAAAAAATAAAAAATAGAAAATAGGTTTATATGGGTAATGAGAAAAGATATTTCAAACCATTTAATCTATACGGGCCTTCTTATTGACATCTCCTAATAAGTAATAAATAAGTCAGTATACACATTTAGTAATCCAATTAAATGTTAATTAAATGTACAGTAATACCTTCGGAATCGCTCGTGCAAGACCTTTCTCGTTTTCCTTTAGAAACTTCCATCTCATTTACAGGATATTCATCATCGGTAGGTGCAATTGGGTGATCTTTTTTTGGCTCAGTATCCATAGCTGAAAGATCTTCTAATAAAAAAGATGTATTTTCATTTTTTAATCTTACACATTGTTAATAAACGACAATCTTAAAAATATGATTTCAATCTGACCTGTTACAAATGGCGCTTTATCACCAATATTTAACGCTTCAGAACTATTTTGAGAATTACTTATTCCTAACGACTGATCATATACATTTTCTTTGGGATCTAACGTTTCATCATATATACTTTCTTTGGGAATACCATAATTATCCAACGTCTGATTATAATAGATTGATGATCCATCAAAGTTTTCAGCTTGATTGTCGAAATTAGTTAGTAATTCGTTAAAAGTATCGCCATATAAATCATTTTGTTCAAACTGCATGTTATCATATAATCCTAGGCCACTCCCATAAGTTCCCTGCGGACCAACATATAATTCATTCGTTGGTATTTGGTATATTGGAGGAACCCCGTAAAACCCTGGAGTTCCGTTTTTCCAGGCTTCACTATCAATATATTGTATTTCTCCATTATCACCTCCGGGATAATTAGGAAACTCTGTGTTGTGAAAAAATTGAAATATTCTAATGTATTCAAAATAAATCTGCTGGCATAAACCTTATACTCAAAAAGCATACCATCATAATTTTTAATACTGCTAAGGCATCTTTTGATGGTTTAAAAAATGAATTACCTGTCCCAGATAATTGTGCTATCTCGGTTGTAGATTGTGGTAATATATTATCATAATCATTAATATCTCCATCATCAAAAGATTCAGGATCTTCACCTGCGACATCTGAAGCAGAATATAAATATTTTATATGCTTAGTTCTGGCATGTAAAATAAAAGAATTCTTATCTATTTAATTGTGAATCTGTATACCATTATATTTTCGATACTGTGAAATAAACCGTTCTTGTAAAGTCATTACTATAAGAAGGTCTGTTGTATTCAAATCATGAGACTTCCGATATCTATTGTGGGTAGTAATAATCTTCCCAAGAGTGAAACGTTGTGAATATTTATTGTCCTATAATAAAATGTTGAAAGTTCCGTCTAAATTCTACAAAGTTCCACATTCAATAATATACACATATGGGCTAGGTGCTGCAAAAAGGGACCAAATTGACAAAACAAAAGATCTTCAGGAAATCAATTCTTATGTTATAAATCTTATGTTATAAATCTTATAATAAATTATAAGAAAATACAACTTTAAAGAGCAATATAACAAAATTTTATTAATACAACTACTTTTGTATCTTAAGTAAATAATGATTCCAATCTTATTCTAAATTGATTTATATAAAAAAATATCTTGAAAAAATTGTCAATTTGGCCCCTTTTTGCAGCACCTAGCCCATATAATAATAACATACTTGAGTCAAAACTAATCGAAAGTCATCGGCGGCTGAATCTTTAAATGTCAGCACTACTTCATGATCGTGTATTTCATCTCGAATATATTCTTTTTTGAGATCTTGCATCCATTCACCCAAGCATTTGTTTAACTTTACGTGTAATGGAAATTCTTGGCCTTCATATACCAAGGTACAGCGAGATTTCTCGCTATTTGAAAGATCATTTTCTTTTTTAGAAGACTGCTTACCAACAGAAAGATTTGATTCACTCTCCAACTCATTGGGTACAACGCCATCTTCATTATTATCATAAATTGTTGCATCACCAGTGTTTAATTCATCGTCTTCAAAAACGACTGCATCTCCATTATCCGGAAAAGATCCGTCGATCGTACCTAATTCATTTTCTTTTGGTAAGAGTTCGGTATCATTATTATCTGACACGTGCACAGCTTTCTCTGAAGGTTCTGTGTTTATGTCAGTGTTAGCTTGTTCTTCGACTATTGAGGTTGTTTCCATTCGTTCAAGTATATTCCTCTTAAAATCATTATGAAGTGGTTGTTTCTCTTGATGTTCACTTTCTACTAGCTTAAATGATCCATCTTGTGTCCCTGACTGTCCATTTATTTTCTCACTAATTTTAAGTGAACTAACTTCATCTAGCTGATCAAGGTGCTCATTGTCCTTTGAACCGCATTTATTCAGTGTATTATTATTATCCTCTATCAGAGTTTCTTCAAGAGGCTCGTTCTCCAACCAGCTATCATCAGAATTCTTGTTCACCACAGAAGTGCTCATTTCTTGAGCTTTATTCTCAGAAAGTAACTCAGACATCTAAAAAAAATAAAAAAAAGTAGTAGTAATTAACAGAACAGACAATATAAATATTAACGATATACTTTGCTTCTTGACAGATTAAGTGCTACTTGGTCTCGTGATGCGCAACTCAAACATAAATAATATAAATAATTGCGTATTTGATTTGTGAAACAGAGTACAGTTAATACATATCTATATCCAATAAACGATCTGGAATATTTCCGGAGGTGCTGTCATCAAACTCCGAACACCTTATTACATGTGTTACAAACCGAAGTTCAATTTTTCTAAGTAAATGTTTTTGTACTCATTCCACAAGTTGAGATTCATAAAACATGCACAAAATTTGCCTAAATTCAACTCTATTTTCTAACCTCTCTTGTTTCATGTTAGGATGATATGATTATCAAAAGTATCTTTTATAAATTTGTTGTGAGCGACAATTAAAATTTTATTGATTATTATATCCGCTCTAAAAAAAAATGGGAAATTGTGGAAGTTCGGTAAATAATATATCTTAAACTTTTTACCATAACCGTCATTTGATCAACTTTATTGATGAATTTTTTTTTTTTTTAGAGAAAAAGACTTCCACAACCACCGATACAACCTCAACCGCATATACAGCCTGGACAAGTAGTTGTAATTCCACAAATTCAACAATATCAGCCCCCTAATTTTTCTCCAACCTATGTTCAAACCCTTTCACCTTTAACGACAACATACCCGTCTCAACCACCGCCGATACTCATGGGTTCTCCAGTTGAATACAATCAAGGACAATATACAACAATAGAACCATTTTATAATGAGGAAGCACATTATCCGTCACACCCATCATCAGTTATTTTAGATGATTATGGCGTTGAGGAACAACCAAAATTAGCCGAGATGTATGTTCCTAACCAAAATCAAGGTAATGCTGGTTATTGTGAAAATTGTAAACAGAGATTAGTAGACTTTGATCCCGATGGTTACGCCAGCGATTTCTGCAGTGATGAATGTCGCCGAGAAGCACTGGGAGCAGGGCTATCCAATCCTCCATGTATCCAATGTAAAGAATTTCCCCGAGTAAAAAGTTCCGAATTTTGTGGTATGCTTAAATGTAGAAATTTACCATTATGTTTAACTTGCAAGGTATTTTTTTGAATACAAATATAATAACTTATAGCATATCTTCTATTATTTCATTAATTTTGACATATGTTCTATTAATATTTTCATCTTATTTTCAAGGCTAAACGAGTTTATACTCGTTCCCTTTGGTGTTCAAAATTTTGTCGAGATAGAACACCTAATTGGCGACAACTAGTTATTGAAAGAAGTAATCAATTATGTTTATATTGTAATAGAGATCGTGCAATTTTGGGACAAGATTTTTGTAGTAGTCAATGCGAGAGCTTTGTTCATAGTAATGGTATATTTATTATCACTGATTGTCGCCTGATTAATCTGAATTTAAATAATTATTTATCGATTTATGGATTAATATATTATTGTTTATTTTTAGCACCTTGTATGCTTAAACTTCCAGCAAATAGTCAAAAATATAAAGACGTTTCAAAACAATTTAAAGATGCTTGGAGACATCCACATAAACCTGTTCCCGAAATTAGTAAAGTATGGAAGATATATTGCACGGAAGCTTTAATATCTCGATATAATCTTTACCGAGAAGAAGTTGAAACCCGGCAAAACTTGGCTGGTAATCCTTTCCCGAGAGGTGATGGGAAACGATTAATGAGTGCAGGGAATGAACAAAGAAGATTTCATGGAACAAAAATGTAAGTTTTCTATCTAATTATATGTGCATTTATATATTTTACTGAATAAAAATTACGATTTTTTAGGTCATGCCTTATTGGCCTTAAAAATGATGGGCAAGTATGCAGCGACAAATCATGTTCGGTCTGTTGTATTATAAGAGAAGGGTATAAGCTTAGGTTTGTAGGTACAGGTACAGTATTTTCGAGATTTGGTAGGGGAATTTATTTCTCTGGTACATCATCAAAGTCTGATGATTATAATGATGGTTCATTAAAAGATTTTTATGGTGTAAGTTATAAGGTGATGTTATTAAATAAAGTTGTGGTAGGAAAAGGACATCCACTTACTGTAGATAATATGACACTTACAAGTCCACCACTTGGTTATGATAGTGTATTAGGAGAACCTAGTACATCTGGGAATTTAAATTATGATGAAGTAGTTGTGTATAGTGAAAAGGCATCAATTCCACAGTATTTGATTGTTTATAAGGCACAATAATTATTTAATTGTTTTTCTTTAATAGCATTGTAATTTAAACCATTAAATAGAGTAGGGAATTAATTATGGATGAAAAACACAATTGTAATAGGATTATTTTATTAATTTTGTTTCTGTATAATAAATTTAATAAAGTATATAATACACTTTAGTTTATTAGGATCAAATAATTAATTTATAGTATGCAATTAGTCATACATGTAATTTGATTTAACATAATCAACCGAAAAAGGTTAAATTAGTATATGAATCTTATTTTACAATGAGTTTATGTAAATAATTTCATGATTATCCTTTATCACCATTTAGTCATCCGATACGTAACTGCAGCAAACGGAACAACAGCATCCGGTCTATATATAACGTATTCTTCATAATTCAACCGATGTCCTATACGTCCATGCACAGAATGACAAGGATATGGTGGTTCAGCTAAACCCGGAATGTCATCAATTGTTGTATGGCATCTTTTATCCAACATAAATAGTTAAAAATGAGATTTTGTTTTTTTTTTTAGCACTAAATAGATGTTATATAAATAAAAATAAAAAGAAGCCTACCTTCCTAAAGCAACAAAACAAAACAAAATGGTATATAAATCTTCAGCACCTCCTCGGGGAGTAGCATAACTATGGGCTTTAGAAGAATTAGGGGCAAAATAAATACCAGTTCCAAATCTAATATTGGAATTAATTTATTGCAGTAATAAGTAAAATAAAATAATCAATTAAACTATTTGTTAACTAGTTTACCTTTTAAATGGATTTGCAGATCCGCTCTTACTAATATCAAATCCTTTACTTAATATATTGCATCCAGCGCAACTATCTAAAGAAGTAGGATCACACGGTTTGTCAGCATATTTGCAGTTTACTTTTGTACCATGCCATAAAGGCTTTACGTTAGGGTCATCAAGGATTAATAATAATTCTGACATATAATCGTCAAATCTCTGACAAACATTCGTATCACTCATCATGAAAGACACAAACTCAACACTGGGAACGCCCATATGCATTGGATGTCTCCAAGTAGTATGAAAATGATCTACAATCTTTTCGTTAATTTTGCGCGTTCCAGCGAATATAGCTGCCTGACGAAGTAATTTATCTGAGGAAAATATTTTTCGAAGAGCTGAAAAATCCGGACGAACCGTTGGATCAATCGCTAAACTCAAATGAATAGAAAATTTTTGACAAACAAAATTTATTTGAGAAAACAATTAAATTTTTCATTTATTTGAGAAAATAAATAAATTATTCAGTTATTTGAGAAAACAAATAATTATTCTGATTCTTTTTACAAAAAAATACAAACCACGTTCACAATCGTCACAGTTGCAACCTTGTCGTGTTTTAGCCTTAATTTGTTCCCACTCTTCTCTAGGAAATTGATTCCATTGAACATTCGGGGTATCGTCTATTCTTTCAACTTCTTCTTCCTCTTCATCGGAATTTAAATCCCATATACTTGTTAATTTAATATTCGGTTTTCTATATAGCGACATTAATTCAAGTCGGAGAACGTGCTGTGACAATTAACAATCAGTTTTATGCAGTACACATTAGTGTAAAGCTTATTCCTATTTCGTTTGTGCGCATATTATTGGTTAATTATTATAAATAAGTGTAACAGTTGCAACATTCATACATTAAAAGCCACGTACTTCCAACGCGATGTATTAATTTTGGCCGGCACCTGCGTTAAAACAGAAAGGAAAGTGGAACCTCTTACAGGGTTGCACGGAATAATCGAATATTAATTAATAAAACATGATCAATTTTTATCAACTTTTCGAAAACTCTTTCTTTTTTTGACTTGGGAATTCTTATCGTTAAGGTTGTAAGAAAAGAAATTTTTATAAAAATGGGAGAATTAAATAATTCTAAAAAAAACGGCAAAAGCACACATATTTCCGAAGGTAAAATTTCATTTATTTAAAAATTTTGCATTAATTGGAAAATATAATAATATCATTTATCTTAATTTAATCAGATGAAGTTACAGAACAAATAAAATCTACAAAAAGAACACTTTCTCAATCAGATACAGATCCATCTACCGAGAAAAAGAAGAAAACCAAAGAGAAGAAAAAGAAAATAAAACCTGTAGGGAGAAATAAAGGTGATTACACCATCTCTTTAATAAATACTTTAATAAATCGTATTTTACAAGTGTGATATTTAATCTGTTTTAACGTTAATAGGCCCCATTGATTTGGATAAACAATGTGGTGTCATTCAATATCCAAAGACTACACCATGCACACGTTCATTGACTTGTAAAACTCATTCTGTTGGCTCGAAACGGGCAGTTCAAGGTCGTTCAAAGAGATACGATGAATTACTCGCCGAACACCAAAAGAAGAAAGCTGCAGAACGTCCGCCAAGTGAGTCACGCGTGCACACCCGATAATGATCAGACTATGATCCGATATTGTGATTAACCTTTTATATTTAACCTAAATTTTAGAAGAAATTGCAGTATCAAATAATAAGCAAGACAATAAGATCGATGACTCAGAAAGAGATGTTGCTGTAATTGATTCAGATGCGGAAGTTGATGCTGTCATGGAAGCAACAATGTGTTATAAGCCTCGACCTCTTGTCACGCGACCAAATTACTATCTTCATACGCCACGGACAAGTGATTATTTCAAATACGACGAGTTATTGCACTCCGACATTACAACTCCAGATACTTGCTAGCTGTTGATTCTTTCTTGAAGACCCGCCATAGCCGACCAATTACATCATTCGGCTCGTGGAAATGCACCACGTTTATTCGCTAAAATCTTTGAAGAACGTAGAAATTGCTTTCAAAGTTGTCAAAAGTTTTTTCTATTTTCGTTCTATCGTACTTGTATCTAAGGCCATACTAAGTTAATTTATTGGTTTTCACATCATAAATTGGCCTTATTGGGATCAGACTGCCCAAATTTTTATACAGTATCGAAGAAATTGTTAATAAAAGGAATTTTATCAGAAGACTCATTGTGTTAAATCCGTGATAAGATTTCTTCAAGGTACTTGATATCTCCAAGATCTTCAACTATCACCATATCTATATAATATTCGATATATCTTTATATTTTCCGTATTCTCTATATAGCTGATATTTAAGATATATTAATATACTGAGGATCTCGCATAGATGTAATAAATATTATTATACTGCAACTATTCTTACAAAGTTCGGTTTATCAGAGTTTTGATTAGTGCTTCAGCTAAATGGAGTTCGTTAACGCGTCCGCTATATACAGTCAGACCTCTCTAAATGCAAATGCGACGGGACCAATTTAGCCAAATGTGCACTTAGAGAAGTATTGCATTTAGAGAGGTAAAAATCTGTAGACATAATATTAGTTGGGCCCGAAGAAGACATGCATTTAGGGAGGCTTTTCATAGGACGTGTACTTGGGGGTTGCATTTAGGGGGTCTGACTGTATAAAGTACAAATTTTTTTTGTTATTAATATGAAAGCTCGTTTCTTAGGTTTAAGAGCTTAAGGATAAATTAAATCATTGTGAAATTTTTATCGTTAACAACGTTAAGCAAGTCGTTAAATTGATAAACCTCGTGACTGTGGTGTGAAGATAAAAAACCTGAAGCTTGAAGTGGACTAATAAGTACTCATTCTGACCCTATCAAAAACGTTCACTCATAAAAGATAAACTTATCAGTTATAGCAGATAAGTTTGTTAACCATACGCGCATACTATAGATGCACCTCGCACCTAGCATACACTTTTACATATTTTACATATTTCGCGTAAAATTATTTCCAGCCAGGGACCCGAAAATAATTGAAGTTAAAATTTGATTAAATATATCTACTTCATCAAATTCAATGAAAAACTTTTTATTTGAATTCTACATACAGACCTGTGGAATTCAAATAAAAAAATTTTTTAAAGTGGCCGTTGGTATATATTTTGATTACAAAATAATTTGAAAACATAAATTATTAAAATATGGGGGGCTGCCAGTAGAAACCAAACAAATTGTTTCTAAGTAAATTTTTTTAAAACTTTAAAATAAAATATCTCAACAACTATTAAACCAAACTTGATAAAAATTTTTTTATTTTAATATTATGTAGCTAGAATTAAAATAAAAAAAATTTATCAAGTTTAATTTAATAGTTGTTGAGATATTTTGATTTGAAATTTTAAAAAAAACTTATTAAAAACAACTTGCTTGGTTTTTACTAGCAGCCCCCATATGTTTTCTATTTGAAAATATTTGATAAAATTTTTAACATTAAATAATTTTAATTTCTATATAAAGAACATCCAAAACTTTTTGAAAAAAAATTAAAACCTGTTCTTTTTAAAAACATATCTAATATGGGCTAGGTGCTGCAAAAAAGGACCAAATTGACAATTTTTTTAAAAGATATTTTTTTATATAAATCAATTTAGAATAAGATTAGAATTATTTTTTACTTAAAACACAAAAGTAGTTGTACTAATAAAATTTCGCTATATTACTCTTTAAAGTTTGTATTTTCTTATTATAAGATTTGTCTTTTTATATACTATAGCGCCTAGCCTATATAATAAAAACCAAATTATATTATAAGAGTTCATGTAAGTTATGTGATAATAAGAATTTATAGAATATTAAATTTATAGTAACCTGTTTTTGTAATCTCATACTGTATTTAATATATGGGGTTAAGTTAATAGAAATTAAGCAAATTTTATTATTAAGATTTTTTTAAAACTTTAAACAAGAATAATTTAACAAAAACTTAATCAAATTTAAATTTTTTTTTTAAATTAATTTTACAAGTTAGTAAAAATTATTTAAAAAAATTTTTATTAAATTTTGTCAAGTTTTTGTTAAGTTATTCTTGTTTAAAGTTATGAAAATTTTTATTATAAAAAATTTGCTTGATTTTTATTAACTCATCTCTATATATTTATTGATTACTAATAATCACAGGTGAAAAATTAAACTTTTTCAACTAGTATTTTCTAAATATTTTTCAACTATTTAAAATTATATATAAAAAAGATACAGTAAGAACTTAGATAATACAGAAAATATTTAAAAAAATTATATATTATACAAAAAATTTTTAAAAAAATACTTACAAAAAAGGTTTATTATTTAATTATAAAAAAAGTTTAAAACTTTATATTTTGTTATAAAACATATTAATATTATAGAACATATTAGAGATTTCATTTCTATTAGATTTAGAAAATTATACCAATTAAAATAAGCTATAATATACAAAAAACAAATTAACAAATAACTAAATAATTAAGAAATAGATTCATTATAATATCTTTTATATTTTTTATATACTGTATATAGTTAGCACTGTCTAAATGTATACTATCTATAAAAAATCTTTTAATTGATAATTTGCCACTTAACAGAAGCATGATTATCTCTTAAACTGTCAGGTTTAATACCAAATATAGCTGCTAAAATTTATAAACAGTTGTATTTGATCTAATTTTATTAAATATTAAAATATTTAAAAAAATTTTATATAATAATATTTGAAAATAAGAATTAGAGTGTGGCGACTTGGTAAAGTAGTCTAGTTGTCACCTTACCAAGCAGCAAGTTTAGTGTTCGAATCCTATAGATGATGATTTCAAATACTAGGCTGTATTATAATTAATAATTATTCTAAAAATGGCTTAAATCTATAATCTGTAATACTATTCTTGAATGGGAAATGAGCTATTGCAAAGTGGTAAAGCGTAGGCCCTGTATTTGTGTACAGATTACACAGAAAAATGCATTTCAGTAATTATTAGATACAAACTCTATAATAAGTCAATGCTGTGTAAATTCTAGAAAGCCAGGATAACTGAAAACCTGTTTGGAAAAATCTAAGTAGAGATGTAATAGAAGCTTTCGATGATGCTACAGAATAGAACTTGGATAGCACCAGTTCCAGAATATTGTTCAGACTAAACCTCTTAGAAATGAGAAGTCGACCAGGGTAGCTGCTAGAGTCGCACTAGAGGAAAAGAATGTGTGTTATGAAATTATATACCAAAAGTTCGAAATTCAAAGGTATATAAAGCTAGGATAAACAGATTTTATTTTGGGTTAACTAACTAGGATCGAATATTTAGCTAGGAAAAAAGACCTAAAAAAGAAGTGAAGTGGGCATCGGGGTGGATGTGAACTCTATATGAGCAGAGAATATGTAGAGATAATACCCAAGTACTAACTTAGGTTTAAAGACATAATATCTTTAATATCTAATTTAGAGTGTATAGATGTATAGAAGAGTTGGGGTGGGTATATGCAATATACACCCATATTAGGTAAGACAGAAGGTTTGGACTAAAAGTTTACCAATAATAGATAAAGTAGATAGCAATGCTGAATATAAAGGTACTAGGATTATATAATATATTGGATATAAATCAGTTACTATAAAATACAATTTGTACTAGATTAATTGATCTTAATATCTAAAATATTAATAAACTCTAGTTTTTGAACACTTAAAAAAAAAAGAAAATAAGAATTACAAAATAGTAATATTTATTTTTAAATTATAAGAAAAGAAAGTATAGTTGCTTATATATTAAAAATTTTAAAAATTTTAAAAATTTTTTTAAAAAATAAAATTTATCTTTATTAGGTTATACAAAGTTAATTTTTTGATTCTTATAACATAAGACAAAAAACATAACCTGCTTGCCTAGACTTTTATTTAAAAATTTTATATATAAAAAATTTTAAATTTTATAAAATTTTTTAAAAATTTT